AACTTTTGCAGTGATAGATCTAACCCAGAATCTGACATACCTACAGGCACTGTTACCAAAAAGTTTATTTCACCATTTAAATTGAATCTAGGATTAGAAAAAAACACTTTTAATTAAAAGGCATAGGAAATGTCAACAAGACCTGAAGACTGACACCTCACAGATCATGTTACTATCAGAGGTACCCAAAGAATATTCTGTTACTGAAGCTGTTGAAAGGCAGTCTCTGACTCATCATCATCAGATTCTCCCCAGCTTTTTCTACTTGCACACATTGATGTTTCACAAAATGGCTTCTTGATTACCCAACTGCCAAGTATAATACCAGGTGGCTGAAGATCACTTGTAAAGAGATTAGGGAGTCTTGCAGCTGCATCAGATTAAACGGGAACTAAGAAGCAAGAAGAACTAAGTAACAAGTGGACAATTCAAACTCGAACTGCTCTGACAATCAGAAAACTCCTAAGGGCCACGAAGAATACTACACCATATCTAACCTGGTAAGAACCAAGTAAAAGCCAGTAGCTACTGGCAGGGAAGAAATGCATTCCTAAATCCTCAGATGAGGAACAATGTCCACAGACTTGCAGCTAGAATATTCATTTATTCAACAAATATCTACTTCCCAAATGGCTTGATGGGAAACACATGGAAGCAGCTAAGACGTAGGGGACAGCTCCTGTCCTCAAGAAATACACAATCAACTTACAAGCAATCATAACATCTAGTATGCAAAGAAGAGATCATTCTGACTTCAAAAGCAACAATATTGTAACAAACAGCATGTGTCTATACACACTCTAATACACAAAGAATGATGCTACTTCATTGGCATTTCAAGTAAGACTTTTTAAAATTTGTGTTTGTGTTTAATGGTGGCATAGTTTCACATTTATTAAAGGTAGGGGAAAAAACAAGCAGAGGGGAACAACGGGCTCTGCAGAGTGAGTCTGAGCCAAGTAAAAAGGGAAGAAAAAAATAAAAATAAAAAATATACCTTATAGTGTAGGGTGGGCTACTGTAAAGGGGCATGATGCCTTTAAGTGAGACAAAAACCTGCAAAAACGGACAGTAAAGATACAAAAGCTATTTATTAGGATCCTAGATTCAATGACTTACTAGAATTTTAAAAAACTTTTGCAGTGATAGATCTAACCCAGAATCTGACATACCTACATCCCTTACTCTTTTTGAGACAGCATCTCACTCTATTGCTCAGGCTGGCCTGTCATTCTCCTGCCTCAGCCTCAGTCTCCTAAATAGCTGGGATTATAGATCTGCACCACCACATCAGGCACTAAATTTTTAAAAACATCCATTATGTTCTTTTAACTTAAAAAGTCACTGTTGAATAAATACCACAGGAATTCCGAAATACACTTTTCATATTATGGAAAGTAGTAAAGCTGACAGCTGATAATGATGTCTCAGTACTCTGCAACAATGGATGAAATTAGGCAATAGTTCCTCCATACCCTTACCACAAAACCCTTGCCATTTCTAAACATCTGAAGTCAATTCCAGATTTAGTTAAAACGCAACATAAAAGAAGTCTTTTGCTGGGAGACAGAAAAAAGAAATGCTAAATTCCCAAACTAATAGTAAATTAGATTGCTTAATATGATCATAACTTTCAGAGGGAAAGGGATGATAGAGGGGAAGGGAGAAAAAGTCTGTATGATAGAAAAAATGAAAGATATTACCAAAAGTCACTATCTTTGAAAACAACTGAAAAACAATCCAATCATTATTGTAAAATAGGAAAACAACACAATACTGTGTGTGTGCATTTAAATATATTTTTGTGTTCTCTGAACTTGGATGTGACATTTTAAAAGACATTTTAAAAGGAAAATATATTATCATCATAGTAAATATGTCAAGTGTACCAATAAAATCTATGATATCAAAAAATAAAAATATAAAATAATATACTACACTAAAACAGTTTATATTCATCCATACTTCTTTAGAAATATTAAAATCTATATAAATTAGCAGAAACTCTGGGTCTAAAAGAAAAATGAGTATAGATAATATTTTCAATGGAGACTTTCTAAGTCTAGATGGGCATAATCCCAGCTACTTGAGAGGCTAAACAGGAGAAACACAAGTTCAAGGCTAGCTTGGGCAATGCAAAGGGACCCTGTCTCAAAATCCTGAGTGCTGGGATGTAGCTCCCAGCATTCAAATACTCTTTTGACTTTCCTATCTCAGAAACGAGGACTCTGCTCTCCCTTCTCTAAGACTCACCTAATAGCCACCCACTGCTGCCCTGAACTCCAGCCCCTTCCCCTCCTCGTCCACCTGCTCCATGGGTCAGCCCTCTTTCTCATCGTCACATTCTCCTGCCTTTGAAACCCAATCAGCAAAAACTGCACTCTTATTCTGTCCTTTCACTGACCAAAATGGCAACCTATATAAACTGCTTCACTTAACTCCACTTCCACTAATTTCTCAATCCATTACAATTCGTCTCTTCCAACTTAGACACCAATAATGCCCTAATTACCCAACCAAAAAAAAGCCTTTTTCCTTAGTGCCTGATATTTGTAAGGATGCTTTGTATCTTTGACAATGTTGAAAACACTCTCAAGGGTTTTCCTCCACCTCATCTTCCCAAAACTCTGATTTTCATGGGCTTATCTCCTTTGCCTAAAATACTCAAAAAATCCATAATTGACACTCTCAGTCTAATGAGTATTCTCCAGGGTCCACCGTCCATGTCTATGCAGAATATTTTCTATATTCTATGGTCAAACTTCTACTCTAACCATACTTCTCTCACAAGTACCAAACTCGCATTCTTAACTGTCTAGGAAAAAATAACCACCAGACTGTCCCCAGCAAGCAATTCAAACTTTTTAACAAGTCCTAAACATTTTTCCCCTATAAAACCTATTCTTCAAGAATGATCAGGGTTCACAGCAAATTACAAATGGGGAAAAAAAAAAAGAATGATCAGGGACCTGATCTCCCAAGGTAGAAGTCTGATGGTGATCTTTTATATTACCTTTCTCCCTCAAATCCTCATTTCTGTTCTATGTCACCAAATCCTGGCCATATTACTTCCCAATCTCGAGTCTACTCCACTCCCTCCCCCTTTACTATTAAGGTCCTAGGGTCTTTATCTCATACATGAGCCATTTCAACTATTCTCTATCAGTAATATCTCCCTTGTCAGGATTATCTTCCTAAATTCAAAATTGAAACAAGATATCACATTTTTTTTTATCAGACAGGCAAAAACTAGAAAAAAAAATATCTGGTGTTGGTTAAAGCACTGGGAAATGGACCATATCTCAGAGTCTCACAGTAAGGGCAACTGTATTAGACAACTGTACTGAAGCAATATAACCAAACTTGTAAATCTCTATACGCTTTGATTGGGCAATTCTACTTCTAGAAATTTATTTTAAGAAGCTAAACAAAAAGTACACAAACAAGTACATCCTAAAGTTTTCATCATTTCCAGGAAAGGTCAGGATCCCTCCACTTTTTATATACAATGTCATTTGCCTGGAATATCTTCATCCCACCCATGCCATTTTGCATCATCTGAAACCAGAACTTATCCTTGACTTCAAAGGTCAGCTACTCCCTGTCTCCCCCCAAATTCAGGCACACCTATCCACAGCATTACAACCCTTCTGTCCTACAGCAAACTGAAGTTCCCTAGGGAAAATAGTTTTATATACTTACTTATTTAGAGCATACCCGTATCTGTATTATCTACAACAGTGCCTGGCACATAGAGGTCCAAAAAACATGTTGAGTGAAGGTATTTTCTTCCACTTTACAGCAAGAATTCTTTGATACCCAAAATCTCAAGAACTTTTAAAAGGTACTTCCTAAAATGGTGGTAGACTCCAGTACATTATATTAAATTCTTGCATCAAAACAGATATATAAGCAAATATTCTTGTAAATTTCTAAAGAGTTTATGAAGTTTCTGCTTATTTGAAATTTAGTTCCTTAAGGCATAAGAATTCCCTTACTGGGTCATAATTGTGGTCTAATCAATCCACAATTTTATTTATGAATGTAGTACTAAGAAATACATAGTAAAACAACACAGCTATCCTCCAAGATGCCAAGTTAAACACCTTTTCTTCTATAACCAATTATAAACCCACCATACTCGAAATACTGTTTCAGAATCTTGGTTCAGTACCATACCAGAACTCTTTTCCATGCTGTTCATTACAACATTTTACACATAATTATAAGCAGTACAGCTGGACATCGCGGTGCATGCCTATAACCCCAGCACTCAGGAGGCTGAGGCAGAAAGACCACGGTGAATTTCAAGGCCAGCCTGTTACATTGTCATCCCCAAATTTAAAAAAAAAAAAAAAAAAAAATCAAGGCCAGCCTGTGCTACATAGTGAGACCCTATCTCAAAAAAAAAAAAAAAAAAAAAGGGGGGGGGGGGCTGGGGATTTAGCTCAGTGGCATAAGTGCCTGCTTTGCAAGCAGGCAGTCGCGAGTTTGATCCCTGGTACCGATAAAAACGAAAAAGACCAAAAAAAAAAAAAAAAAAAAAAAAAATTATAAGCAGTACTGTGCACCCAAGAACGTAAGTGCACATTTCAGGCTATGTCCACTGGTTTGTTCCCTGTACCTATATCCATACAAGAATATAAGTAACTTGGTTATGCATTTTTCTAAGTTGAACTACTTAAAATTTTCTAAAGGGTTCCTAAGTTTAATAGAACAGCCTAATCATATTCCTTTATGATTTTATGAAGTTTTATTCTTTTGAGCCTGTGTTTTTCTAAACTGAAGAAATCTCACCTTTCTGTTCTGTCCTTAATATCTCTAGTTGGCATCATTTCACTGAATTTGGAGATGTCCTACACACTCCAAACTAAAAAATGCAGGTAGGTCTATGAGATTTAATTGAATTATATAGACACAGCCAAGAAAATTTCACCCAACCTAAGTTAGGAAACTAGTCTTCAAAAACCCTGTGACAATTACTGTGCCCCGGGACTTACAGGAGATCATAAGGTAGTCCTCACAGTTGCTTTTGTCGTCATCTTGTTGGTCCACAGGGATCCCATTGGCATCTATGACTGCTTCAGAGGCACAGTCTGCTACCAATACTTCTTCTGAAACTACATCAGTGGTCAGAGGATCAGTGACAATTTCTGCCTCTACGACACTATCATGAACCACACGCTCAACATGTCCAACATCAGACACATGTATAGATTCACTGGTCAAGACGTGTTCTGGCATAGACATGGAGGCGGATGTAATGTCAGAGGCTAAGACATCATCTGGAACTGTGCAATGTGCTAAAGAAACTTCTTCAGTTACATCTGAGTCCAGCACTTGTTCAGGAATGATGACCGTTTCAGAAACATCTGCTTCTCCCATGATATCTGGACACTGAACATCTTCTATAACAACGTCCTCAATAACATCTTGGATGACCACAGAGTCTGGGTCATCAGGAACAAAATTATGCACAGTTATGTCCGAATCCACAACATCTGACACAAAAACAGTTTCTTGTACTTCCACAACAATTTGATCACCATCCATGTGTGCAGCATCAGCTCCTTTAAAAAAATTTAAGGACAAATATCAAATAAGTATGTATTATTGTCTCAATTAACATAAATGTTATTTGATTTCTACCAGGATGACAGACTAATTCATCAGTTCTCACACATTTAGATTAAAAAAAAGGAATCTACCTTTGACTCATATTAGAAAGATGCTTTTAACACATAGTATATTCATCCCAAGTCAATTAACAAGAAATATATACTAGAAAAACAAAAAAACTAGTCAGTCGCAGAAAACTATTTGTGAAAGTAAAATTGTAGGCACATCAAAATTAAACTCATTCACAGGTTCAGGGATGATTATAAAAAGCAAGTAATGTAACTACAGGTGGCAAATGTACCATTTTTTTTATTACATGTGTTTTTCATTTCTTTTGCTTCTTGCTCCATCTCCCTCTCCTCAAATCATGGTTTTTCTTCTATTTTTCCCATGTACTTCTTATACTTCCCTTCTATTCTGTCTCTTTCTTCCTTTACATCATTCTCCTTTCACTCTGGTACAACAGACCACCAACATTCTCGATCACTATGGAAATTTAGGAATCAACCTCCGACTCTAGGTTGATTTCTAGGACATGAAAGGGATGAGGGCATAAATGAAAACAGGGATAGAAGGTCACAATCTGGGAGAAAGTCAAATGGTTAAGAACACTGTGGATAAAACAAACACAAGTGGGGTCTGGGGATTTAGGTCAGCGGCATAAGTGCCTGCCTTGCAAGCAGGTGGTCATGAGTTCAATCCCCGGTCCCGATTAAAAAAATAAAACACAAAAACAAACACAAGTGCAGCTGTGCCAGGGTGGGTGAGGGTAAGGGTAATTAAGAACGTGCCTACCCCAACCTCACTGAAGTGTTCTGCATCCTCTAGCCTCCGCCCTCCTTGCAGACCCCAAATCCCAAGGCACGTCCCTCACAATCCAGGAAACCTCATTCTAGTCTATTTCTGCAGTTAAGGAGAGAAGGTAGAAGAATCAAGTGTACCCCAGAGAGATTAAATGGCTCAACCAAGATCACACAGTTTATATAGCATGTGGTGCTCATAAACATTACTCTTAAATGAGTGCCATAAATGGGAATAAAAATCATATATCCTTGCTAAAAATACAACATTAAAAAAAACAGTATCTTGATTGCTGGCCCAGGGAAGTACAAATAAAGTTTTATAGAAGTATCACTGAAAAAGCTATTAAGTAGCTTAGTGCTTCTGGTTGTGACTCAGATGAGGCTGAGTCCAAGCAGGCCCCTACCTCAATGACTATGCAGGCCCTCAGAGGATGCTTTGTCGACAAACAAAAAAAAACAGTGAGGGCCAACAATACTAAAAGTTACAGGAAGTGTTTGAAGTCAGTTAATAACCATTTTCACTCTAGAAATAATGAAATAAATAAGCTTGCTTTAATCTCTAAGGAACTTCTACAAATGTTGTTTACTGATTTGTCTCAATATCCTCATCATCATCAAGTAACATCACTATCATCTCCATTTGGCAGACATGAGCATGAGAGCATTTAATGGCAAGAGGTTACAAATTCTAAATCAGACAAAAGGTTATACACTTAATAGTTTTGTAACCTTGGGCAAGTCGTTTAACCTCTGGATTTCAGTTTCCTCATCAGCAAAATGAGGATAGTAGTATCTGGCATGCATACCTCACAGGACTGTGGTGATGACCAAATGGGAATGTATGAGAAGTGTTCTGAAAAACTGTAATGAGAGGTTTTGTCATTATTATGACATATGAAAATGGAGGCCCTGGCAGATTAAGTGACTTGCTCAAAGATAAACAAATACCCTAAGTGTTAAAAGCAGGACTAAAATGCAATAGCTTTTCAGTCTATCTTTAGTCCATAGCCAAGGTTTATTTGTGGTGAAATTAAGCAAACACTATGTATTTTTCTCCAAACAACTTGGTGTCTCTTTCAAGCAAATTATACTTCATATTCCAATGAAGAATTATCAGTGTTATATTTGTCATTATTGAACTGAAATTACCAAACTTAAAAAAGCTATTTCTAGTTGTTAAGAAAAACATACACCCTCCCCCACTAGATTATACTTTAAAATTGAAAGTCACTAATACTTGTTGTTTCTTTAATATACTGCAATCCATTTAAAGCTCAACAGAAAACTCATTAACATTTTATTTGCAAGAACAGCTAGGTTAGTGTGATATAAAACCACTTTACATTATAAAAGCAAGTATAGGCACTGTGTAATATTATATAATTAAAATCAAAAGTAATTAAAAATCATGAATGCCCTTTTTTTCTATTTTTAGAACTGCATGAATATAATTTTCCTGCATGGTTTGGGAAGTGAGGTAAGACTGTCCTCCTGACGCAGAAGGTTCATTTTCAGAACTTGTGAGAAAGAATGCTGTAAACATAGGGCAGAGTCAGAATGTGGATGACCTCGGATTTATACTTCATCTGCTGGGTAATACAGAACAAAAGATGACATGATGCACATGTTATGGTAAAGTGCTCTTACCAGTAGGCTAGGCAGGGTAAGAAAACTAATGCAAAGGTTCCAGCAGATAAAAGATAAGAGTCTATCTATGTGACAGAAATAGAATGAAGAGGACAGATACAAACTAGAAACATTTTTAAAGAGACAACCAATAGAACTAGGCAAGATGAGAATAACTGAAAACACTAAAGTTTTAATACTGCTGCTCTATCAACTGAGTATCCCTTATACAAAAGATAGGATCAAAAATACTTTAGATTTCAGATCTTTTCAGATTTTAGAATAGTTGAATATATGTAATGAACTATCTCGGCAATGGTTTCCAAGCCTAAATATAAAATTCATTATTTCATATATACCTTATACAGATAGCCTAAAGGTAATTTTATACAGTATTTTTCTTGTGCCTGGGTTTCACTGTAACCTATCACATGAAGTCTGGTGTAGAATTTTCTACTTGACAGTCAAGAGGGCACTCAAAAAGTTTTGGATTTCTGGGTTAGGGATGTTCGACCCATGTTGTCAAGAATGTGAAAACTATTGTGAAGTGTTTTTGTTTGTTTTGTTTTTATTTTTGTTTCTTTGAGACAGGGTCTCACTATATAGTACAGGCTGACCTTTTACTTACTATGTAGCCCCAGCTGGCCTCAAACTCACAGTAATCCCCCTGCCTCAGCCTCCCAAGTGCTAGGATTACAGGAGTGTACTACCATACCTGGCAGGAGCTACATTTTTAAGGTGGAGAATAATGTGCTCACTTTAACATTTGTAAATTCTGACAGGAAACCTAAGTATGAATATCAATGTGAATCTAGCAATATGTCAACATGCTAGCCAAGTCTAAAGTTGTAGATTAAAAGTGGAACAATCCAAGTAGTCATACCTGTTGCATCAAAAAATGAGTTTGGCTCTTGTGGTTGTAATTCAAGTCCATCTTCATCCATGGCCTTTAATTCTCATCAGTCACACACAGCTCCTAAATCAAGGAAAAAAGTAAACCAAGCATTAATTTTTAAAATCATGCATTTCAAATGTCACCAGGATTGTTTGTTTGTTTTTAAAGGAGGAAAGGTCTACTTAGTTCACAGTCTGTGGAGGTTTTAAATCCATAATCAGCTGCCTCCAAGGCAGGGTAGTATGGCAGAGGGGATAACAGTTCATGGTGGAGGAAGATATCAATTGCAATAGATGAGGAGGAGGAGCAGAAAGAGACAAGCTTCTTCCCGTCCTTATGTTGTATGCAGGGTACTCACCCGAGGGTGAGTATAGCACTTGCACCCTTAACCCCAGCATTGAATTTTGAATCAATCACAAACTCTAGATCCACCTATCTCCAAAAAAGCCTAAAATTGCATGAGGCTGTACACACTCAAATTATGTGGCAGATGAACTTCTAATCAAAAACAAATCACAAGAGGCAGGAGGATCATCACAAGGTCAGCCTGCGCTACACAGGTGAGTTCAAAGACAGCCTGAACTACATAGTGAGACCCAGTCTCAAAAAAAAAAAAAAAAAAAAAAAAAGTGAATGTCCTGAAAATAAAAGTAAAGGAACAAAGCAGGAAGGGAAGGCTTACCAACAGCTTTTTTGGCTCCTGATTCTATACTTTTCCGAGGCCCACTTATCTTCCGGCTTTGGATTTCTGCACAACATCCCAATGATATTATTCTTTTCTACTTAAACTAAAAACTTTCAATAAAAACCATAACACATAACAATAAAACTTACAATAAAGAACCTTAGCCAATGTGGTGGTGCATGCCTGTAATCCTAGCACTCTGGGAGACTGTGGCAGAAGGATATAGCAAGTTCAAATCCAGCCTAAGTAATTTAGTGAGAGCCAGTGTCAATACAACAAATTTTAAGAAAGGGGTGGATGTATTGCTTTTAGTATAAAGGTCCTGGGTTTCTATTGCCAGTACTACCAAACATAAAGATCCCTAAAACTCTTAAGTAATAAAATAATGTATTACTTAACACTATTTAATTATTATTTCAAGAACAGGCATCAGGGATTACATTTGCTCACGCTTCTAGTGCTGTATACCCTGTCATTGGTTTCCCTCTACTTTCTCATTTTCTAATCCAACCCAACCAAAACTGTTAGATGCATCTTTCATCTTTAATATTTTTTGCAATTCATGTAAGGATCACATGCTTATTGAAATTTCAAATAACAAATCTGTCATTTTTCTAAAGTATTAGCTGAGACATCATTTCCCTGTTCAAAATGTTCATGGCTTTCTGCCACCTCCAAATAAAAATTCATTTTGGCTCCAAACTACGGTTTGATCACTGCATCACCCACAATTTCTGCAAACACCTCCCTCCACCACCACGCATCACTCATGCACGATTCAGCCAAACAAAAATGCTCCATGTTCCTATAAGAATCTCAGCATTTGTATAATAAATAATAAATGGAATTTCAACATGTTAGCTATGAAAGTTCTTTTCATTCTCAAGAAGTAGCATGTTTCATGTTATTTATTCAAACTGCTCTACCATGGATATAGTTCAGTGACATAGCACCTGCCTGGCAAGTGTGAGGCCCCGAGTTCGGTTCCTGGCACCAAAAATAAAACAAAACTGATTCAAATTAAAGCAAATAATGGCTAGGTTAATGAACAAAAAATTGTTCAAACATGAAACACAAAAGTGTAAATGCTCTGAATAAGCTGTCAAGGCCCTCTCCCTACTGAACTCACCTGTCTATAAAATTATTTTGCCTCTTTAAAAATGTATAGGCTGGGGGCTAGGGATATAGCTCAGCAGCATAAGCACATGAGTTTGATCCCCGGTATCAATTAAAAAAAATGTATAGGCTGGATATTTCGCTCAGCGATGTAAGCGCTTTGCCTGGCAAGCATGAGGTCCTGAGTTTGATCCCTGGTACTAAATAATAATAATAACAACAACAAAAATGATACATATAAAGCTGGCCATGGTGGCACATGTCTGTAATCCCACACTCAGGAGGCTGAGGAGGAGGATCATTATGAGTTTGACACTAGCCTGTCTCAAAAAGAAAAAAAATGCATAAATTAATCTTCTAAACATAATGAAATACTACATTAAATTTAAGCCAACTAAACTGACAATAAAGGGGGTTTGTTAAGGTATTTAAGCCTCACCTCCTTGAATTTCCATATATAAACCCAATCCTATCAGCTCCAAAAATTCTCAACCTACAGAATAGTTGTTTTTCTTGGCTTTTGCTACCCCTTGTTCTTTCTTAAATTCTCCCCTTCCTCCAATTCTTTACCAACACCCTAGTTTGCTTCCCACTCCCACCCTCTGAAGTACTTGCCTTACCTTTTCAAAGCCTTCCCCAATCTGTGTACTGGGTCCTCTTCTAGTCAGCTTTCTATTCCCTTGGTTTCAACTACTATTTCCACAAAACTGAGTCACAAAGTTCCCTTTCAGTACTCATGATGACACCTGCCACCTCCACCAGACTGTCTGCTGAGTCCTGCACTTTCATCTGGATAAAACCTGACTTTCTCCTAATGTGACCACTATGGGCTTTTCTTTCTTCCCCACTTATGTCCAGTCAGGTGGCCAGATCTTGCTAATTACCTCACCGTCCCTTTTTAGGAATCTCCCAATTGCTACCCCAGTCACCATTCCCTCTCACTTTTGTATTTCCTGATCCCTTGGGCATGAAAATAGCCCTGAGTGGCCCAATCACTTTTAACTAGATTTAGGTGAGCAGTGACCCCTTTTCTTGGTAGTGGTACTTGTGATTGAACCCAGGCCTCCACACTGTGCTACAACCTCAGTGACTGCAACGAAACTAGGCATCCCAACCTAGAAGCAGCTCACCACCCTGCAGGACAGCTGCAGGCCATCTAGGGTGCTGCCCACCATCTCTGGTGCTGCCCTGCTTTTTCTGCTACAGCACCCATTCTGGAATTCCATATGGACAAGCACACAGCTCAGAGGGGTGAATTGAGGCCATTATCCTGGCAGGAAAACCACTAGGGACAACTGTGCAAATGGCAAATGGTTTAGCTTTCCACATTTTATCCAGCTGTGCCCAGAGCTTATTCCTTCTTCTGACACTGGGGATACTGCAAAATGTCAATTTTTGGATGGTCATTTCTACTGTCTCTATAGGTCCACAGATTCACTAAAGTTCTCTCTGGTTTTGCCACTAATTGATTACAAATTACTTTATTTGACCATAAATTCATCATATTCTGATAGTGAATACATAACTCTCAGGATTTCTTATTTCTGTTGATTTTTTATATTTTTCTCAATGTGATTTCAAGAGAAAGGCAAAGTAGCCCACCATAGTTGACAACTTCTATCAAGTATTCTGGGAAGATGTATACAATTAATAATACTAATCTAATAGCTGTAACTCAAGTCCCACTCCCTAAGAATAGAATACTTTATTTTCAAATAATCTTCCCACTCCCTGTGTGGAAAACAAAAACAGACACTGTCTGCTGTTGCAAATGCCAGAGCCTGTCCTTCCTTAGCTGTGTCCTACTTAGAACTTTTGTATACGTTACTCAAAAATTCATTGCCAAGTTTTTGTTACAAATGAGTTTTTCCACAAAAATCACTGAGCACACTGATCATCTCAACATTTTGTCTGTTTAAAGTCTGAGAGTTCAACCTTTCGCAAGCTGTTAAAATTTGGCCCCAAAATAACAAACCTGAAGGCCTTATTTTTCCCAAACCTCTATTCCTGCTCAGATTAAGAGATGCCAAAATACCCTCTGAACTCAGTTGTTCTGATGAACCACTACACTATTTTTCAAATGCTTTCATCTTGTTTTTGGGGGGAGGGGGGTTGGAGACAAACTCACTTATATAGCCCAGGCTGGCCTCAAACTCTCCAGATCCTTCTGCCTCAGGCCATCTTCCTTCCTCGGCTTCCCAGAGCTGAGACAGGCCTGTACCACCTAGCCTGGCTAAATGCTTTTGTCTTTAAGACTAGCTTGATTTTAGGAAATTCGTAAGTTTTTTAACGTATCTTCAAACCTATAAAGCAGTACAGCTTCCTTAATAAAATATTGCCATTTAGATACATGCAATATTTTATCCATAACACTCTACTATAAGTCACAATAAGATGAGTATTACTCAACTCTTTGGATCACTCTTTGACTTTGAGGTGAATTTCTTTAAAAAACCCGCTTATTTGCTTTTGCCGAAATTATGAAAAGAAATCCTATTCACGTGTTTCCTCTAATGAAATATTCTGCATTTAGGTGCAGTTGTACTGCAGTGGAGTACGTGAAACACTTGGTGTGATCAAAGGATGAAGATAAGTGTTTTGATATAGTACGAAATGAAGATCAATTTAAACTACATTGTACATGGAATAAAACTGTCACAGGTAAAATTTTTAAAAGGTTAATTTCTGTCAAATGCAGTACATGATAAAGAAAGGCTGGTATTATCAGAGACTATTCTTACATTTTTCCTTTTTCTTGCACCTGCCATCTTTTTCAGAAGTGGACATTTAATTCAGTTCTAAAATGGTCATTCCTATAGTTGTTAATCTAGCAAGTGCTTCCATCAAAACCCTTCTCAATAAATAATGTCTCTATACTAAGAAATATTTCTGACAGTGGATTAGAATTTCTGGATTTTTCAGTTTTGGATTACATATGCCCAGCTTTCTTTCAGTAGAATGAGAAGATGATAAAGGAGGGAGGGAAAAAAGAAAGAAAAGAAAAAACACAGAAAAAGGTTTCAAAAATTTAAAGCTGGGAGTGATAGTACACTATAATCCCAGCAACCAGGAGGATGACAATTCAAGGTGAGCTTGGGCCACCACACTCTATGCTAGTACCTTGAGGGAAAAAGTAAATTACCACCATTAAGTCAGTAGGTGATGGAAAGACCGATTATGCTGAAATTTTAAAACTTTTCCCAAAGCTATCTGAACTGTGTCAGAGCGTAACTTTCTCAATTCCTTTTTATAAAACTAATTTAACTTTTAACACAAAATTTATCTTTCTTTCTTTCTTTTTTTTTTTTTTTTGTCTTTTTCCTTTTTATCGGTACCGGGGATTGAACTCACGACTGCCTGCTTGCAAGGCAGGCGCTTATGCCGCTGAGCTAAATCCCCAGCCCCTTTAACACAAAATTTAACACAAATAATTTAACACAACTACAAAGATAGTTAGTTATGAATTCCAAGTATTTGCAAATATGATCAATCATACACAAAATAATACACACCCCAGTACACACATAGAAACCCTGATGCAGTTATCATTATTCTAGAGCTAAGAGTGGAGGCAAGTAAAGACCAATATAAACATGTTGGAAAGGAAACCCTGATCTTCTCAATAGACGTTGCAAAGCTGAAATTCAACAACTATTTTTTTATTTAAAATAAGCTATTCAAAGTGGAATATTTTCTTCACAGAATAGGAATGAAACACCGATACATGCTACGACATTGGATGACCCATGAAAATATGCTAAGTGAAAGATGCCAGGCACAGGAGACCACATGTGACAGATTCACTTACGTGAAACACCAAACAGCAACGTATCTACTGCACCTTTGCAGATCAGTGGCCACCACGGTTTGAGGACAAGAGGGAAGAGGGCACAGGGCTTCTTTTGGGTACAAGGAAAATGTTCTAAAATTAATAGCAATCGCTGCACAACACTGAATCTAATAAAAACTACTGAACTGTATATTTTTAAAGGGTAGACTTAAAAACAGCCTTATTTCAATAAAGCTGCTTTAATATACAAGTATATCAATTTTTTTTTTTTGTACCGGGGATAGAACTCACGGTCCCACGCTCGCTAGACAGGGACTTACGCTGCTGAGCTAAATCCCCGGCCCAAGTATATCAATCTTAAACGAGCTCCTGTGAGAACATGTGTTCTAGAACAAGAGAGAGATATCATTAAATCTTGTAACAAAAAGGCACATATTAAATTGAAAGTAAAACACTAGAAGTATTCCCTCTAACATCAAAATTAAGACATGAATGCCCGTAACACTATTAGTACTTAAAATTATATAAGAACTGCTAACCAATGGATTTAGGTAGGATATAATTATTATTTGGAAAAAGTTAAACTTAATTGCGTATGACACAGTATGTCTAGGAAATGGAAGAAAATCAACCGAAAAACTAGTATCGATAGAAGTCACAGAATGTGACAGTATAAAACTAATTACAGGCAAAAGTTTTCTTTTTATTTGTGGCACTGGAAATTGAACTCACGGCCTTTGCTCTGAGTTACCCCGACCTTTTTAACTGGTTTCATGGAGTCAGATTCGGGCCAATCTGCCTAGTCTAGGCTCGAACTTGCCATCTTCTGCTCCGTGCACGGGGATCATAAGCGCGCGCCACTACGCCAGATTAAAAAAGTTTTCTTATAATACAAATGCAAAATCCCAACGTCTTACTTTCCTACACCCACAATTTAAAGAAGTAAAGGTGTATTTGGCTCACGGTTCAGTTCGTAGTCCCCAGCTGGCGGGCTCTAAGGCAGGGTGCCGTGGCAGGAAAGCGAGGAGGAGAGCTGCTAGCTGAAACGGCAGCTCTCGAAGGGGCGAGTCGAACGGAGCCCGGGAAGAAAAAGGTCCAGGCCACGCCCCCAGTGTCCCGCCTCTTCCCGCCACACTTCTAACAGCGGGTTAGCTACCAAATCCCATAAACCAACCAATCAACTTCCAAAAGCCCACATGAAGCTCTCCAGGGACATCTTGATAGAAACCACAACTGATAAGAAAAACATACAAAGAATTCACCAGGCACGGTGGCTCACACTTGTAATGCCAGCACGGGAGGCAGGACTGCTGAGACTTCAAGGCCAGCCTGGGCTACATAATGAGTTCAAGCCCAGTGTGAATTACATAGTGAGACCCTGTCTGTCTCCAAATTTAAAAATGTGTGTGCATGCGTGTATGTGTGTGCATACATGTGGACGTGAGCATATACCAATATGTTCGAAATTTTGTATTTTTCTAGGAAATTGTTCATTTTGCATAAATGACAAAATCTCAAGAAAAGCAAAAAAGGTGCCCCATTTCAAAAACTATTACTAAATTTTTTAAAAATCTCACATAAAAGAAACCAAGTATAGACAGTTCATAGATGGAAACCATCTAACTTTTAATAAACAAAGCATCTCTATTAAACAGACATTTCAAAAAAAGATACTCTCATATCTGTCTATGAAGTTTGTGGGCACTGTGACACACACCTGGAGAGAGTCCAGGAGTTCTGAGCCAACCTGGGCAACACGGCAAGACCCCATCTCAAAAAATAAATTTTTTAAAAACACTCATGAAGCTAACATAATCTTGTCATCAAAACACGGCAAGAGGATCACAAGTTTAAGTCCAGCCTAGGCAATTTAAGGAGACTCTGTAGGACCTGGGGATGTCACTCAGTGCAAAGCCCTAGTGTGCAATGCCCGGGGAGTGGCGGGGGACAAAGACCATGCGAAAAAAGAAAAGTACATGGCAATAACAAAGGAACGCAAATATCCAGGACATTCAAAAATAATTTAAGGTAGAAAATCTATTAATGTGTTTTATCACACTAGTAGGTACAGTAGAAACTGTAGAAAAAATCAATTCTTATTTGTGGTAAAAACTCTAAAATGCTACAAGAACTAAAAAAATAATAATAATATCCAACCACCTGAAAGCCTACTAACAACAGTACACTTAATAATAAAAACCTTAGAAGTACTCAAAGTACCTAGACCTGCATACCAATCATCCATGCTCTGGGGTCAGTGAATGCAGTTAGACAGAACAAGAAACGAAGAGGCAGAAAGCAATGGAAAAGAAATGAAACCATATTGTTCACAGATATGCTAATTAGCAAATACAAAGAATTATAAATTGATCTTACTCCCATAGGTCAACGAACTACCAATTGTAAAACACACCTTTATTTTATACACAACTAAGAAAAAACATCAATTAAGCTGTTCCGTACTTCCTTAATATCTAGGATTTTCATTTTAGATTTATCAAGACAATGCTTTCAGACTTACACAGATTTTTATCCTATCTTGTATGTATATAAAAATATAGAGATTAAAAATTTGGTAGAGTATTCCTAAAACGTCAAGTTACTTCTCTACTCAAAACTATTCAACTGCTGGGTATAATGGTATATGCCTGTAATCCCAGCATTTGGAAGGCTGAGGCAACCTTGAGAGACTCAACTATTTGATAAGTCTATGCAAAAAACATTAAAACTACATCACACAACAAAGAAAAAAATCCAGATGAATTAATTACCTAAATATTTAAAAAGCACAGTATCATCATTACCTGGGAGTAAATGAAGAATTTCTTGAAGGCACAGGAAAACAAACCATAAATGAAAAAAACAAAAAACAGCAAACTGGCTACTATCACATTAAGAAGTACTGCACAAATTCCATAAATGCCCAAAGACGAGCCACATATGAGGATATTTTCAGTGCATATAACTATAAAACACTACTATCCAGAGTATGAAAATATCCATAAACCATTAAGAAAGACAGCAATCCAACCTGAAAAAATGGACCAAAGATTATGTACAAGGGTTACGCAGAAAACTCAAATGGCCAATAAATAATGTGGGAAACAAAGATCAACCTCAAGAATAATCTAAGCAATGCAAAATGAAAACTGCAAAGAGATAGCACTTATATCCAACAGATGGGGAAAACTTGCAAAATCTAATCTTTTGGCAATGATTGGGGAAACAGGCTCAGACACAGCTGGTGGGAGTGTCAAATGGAATGAAATCTGGCATTGTGGCAATTCCCAGTAAAGCTGACAATGCACAGACTTAAACACAGCAAATTCTGCTATAATCCCAAGAGTGAAGAACCCTGTATAAGAATATTCACAATAGTAGTTTGAAACTGTGGCAAAAATGCAAACAGCTTAATGGTTCCTCCACAGGAAAGAACACGATCCCACAGGCTTGCACCCCTACTAGTACATGCATGACAGTCAAGAGCATTCAAGAGCATGGAATAGTCCCATCAGGTGGTACAACCTGTCCAGTAAACAATTATGCGTGTACCACTACTGGTACAAGCCATCTGATGGGATAATGCTTGTAGGCCCCATTGTACACATGTTAATAAGGCACACAGTATGTTTCTACATTAAAACACAAGTAATAGGGGATGGGGATGTAGCTCAGTGGCACAGTGCCAGCCTAGCAAGAGCAAGGTCCAGAGTTTGATCCCGGGTACCCCTCCCCAAAAAATGTAAGTAATACGCCAGGCATGGTGGTACATACCTATAATCCCAGCACTTGAGAGGCTGAGGCAGGAGGATCACCATGAGTTTACAGGCAGTCTAGGCTACATACTGAGTTTAAGGTCAGCCTAAACTATATAGTGAGATCCCATCTCAAAAAATAGTAACAGCCAGGCATGGTGGCGCATGCCTGTTCTAACACTCAGGAGGATGAGGCAGAACTGCTGTGAGTTAGAGGCCAGCCTAGGATACAAAGTGAATTGTATAGTGAAATCCTGTCTCAAAAAAGACCAAAATAATAATAATAATCATCATCATCATCATCTAGACAGAGCTGAGCATGGTGGCACAAGCCTGTAATCCCAGCACTTGGGAGGCTGAGGCAAAAGGATCACAAATTTGAAGCCAATCTAGGATACACAGTGAGTTCAAGGTCACTCTGAACATGGTGAGACCCTGTCGCAAAAAATAAAACAAAATACAAGTAATGTGGATGAACCAGATCAATGGTTTTCAAACTTGTTGGGTTTCAGGATCCCTTTAAACTCAAAAATCTCAGGACCATATGGAGTATATTATGTAACCCATATCTATTACAGGTATTTATCATTTAAAAAAATTAAATGGAGGCATTTAAAAATATTAACTTTGGTTTTTTAAATTTATTATATGAATAAACATGAACATTTACCTTAAAAAAATTAACTATTTTTAAAGGCCAAAAAAAAAATCTCAGCACCTAGGATACTGAGGTGATGATCATCATGAGAAGCTCATCATGAGATTGAGGCCAGCCTGGGCTACATAGTGAATTCAAGGCCAGCCTGAATTACATAGAAAGATCCTGTCTCCCCACACACACAAAAACAAAAATGAGCAAAGACAGTGGCACTTTTTTACATTTTTTGCAAATCTCTTTACTGTGTGGCTTAATAGAGGTCAGAAAGATCCCTTTGCTTCTGCATTCAGTCAATTATGACACCACGTGTCATAGAGCCTCTGCACAGTACTTGTACAATGTACAGGTAAAATGGTGAATACCACAATTAGGAATTGTTTTGATCTCATGGACCACCTACAAGAATGGTAAGAGATCCCCAGGAATCCCTGGTGCACCAATTTTGAGAACCAATGAACTAGATCCACAAAGAACATGAAGAAACCACAAAAACACACTATTTGGTGAAAATGGATAAAATGACGCCCACAGTATGAAACCATTTAAACACACAAAGCAAGCACTGATCTTGCTTTGGCATATAAATATTAGGATAGTGGTTACTTGTGATTAAACAAGGCAGAAATAATTTTGAAATATTGTATAAAGCCTAATGGCTACATGCTTCAAGGCCATGCAGTTTCATTGACATATATGTCCCTTTCAATAAAACACCATTTTAAGACACTTGGACTTTATAAAATATTGTTTAGAAAAATAATCTCACAGGAATAAGAACAGGCTAGCCATATTCCAAATCAGATAAGGGGTGGGGGATAGGGATTACTCAGTGCCTGGGTTTGATTTGGTGTCTTAACAAGATAGGTATACCTTAATATGAATACTCATTGGTCAAAGACAACATTGATTAAATAACTGACTCTGAATAGTTTCCAACTATGTAAAATTTTCTGCATCCAATAACTGAGATAATTGGTTCTGAGAGATCGAATGCCAGGCACCACCTGTGGACAAAGTGATACCCTGTCTCTGTATTCACAGTTTAGAAAAGACAAAAGTACAAATAGCATACATAGTCAAAATATTACAGATTAAATGCTATATTAAAGATCCTGTCAGATTATTTTTCCAAACAATATTTTATAAAGTCCAGGTGTCTTAAAATGATGTTTTATTCAAAAGGAAGAATACTTCAATGAAACTGCATGGCTTTGAAGCATATAGCCTGACATGCAATCTCAAAAACAATCACCTGAGTTATGGGATGCAGAAAATTTTATGTAGTTGGAAACTATTCAGTCAATTATTTAATCAGTGTTGTCTTTGACCAAAGAGTATTCATATTAAGGCATAACACTTTGCTTTACGGAACACAGAAGAATGAGCCTGGGGAAATGATGATGCCATTAACTGAAAGAAAACAGGAGACAAGAATTATTTTAGGGGTTCTGGATTTTTTAATGACACAATAGTACTGGGCAACTATGATAGTCAGAGACATTTGGCTTCAGCCATGTTGAGATTCTTCAAACATCCAGGTGCCACTGCAAATGCCAAATGAGCAACTAGAAGACGGGGGGTCGTGGCAAGGGACACCAAACTAGGGAGAAAGATTCTAGAGAAGAAAGGACAGAGGACTGACCTTGAGGGACAACCCACCACAGAAGACAAAGAAGGCTGTGACACAGACAGCATTTTTATGACACGCCCATGGATATGCTGTGCAAGTTTTCCGAGTTGGGGAAATACCAGATTTAGGAACAAGTGAGCTAAAAAAAAAAAGGAATGGTGAAGAGCAAGATAAGCCAGGTGAAGTTTTTGTAAGATGAGCAAATGTAGGACTGTTTCTAAGGTGAGGTAAAAACTCCAGCAGAGCGAGGGCACTAACAGAGACATCCCACAGAGGCAGGCCAGAGCCATTTTCCTGTGCAAGAGAAACAGGAGGAAAGGTTAGGTAGAGAAAGGGAGGGAAGGGAAGGGGAGGGGAGGGGAGGGGAGGAGAGGGGAGCAAAGCTATGTATGGCAGGGAGGGAAACTCAACTCTACACCATTTTAGGCTATTTAGCTAAGTAAAGTCTGGGTGATCCGAGGGCAAGAAATTTCAAGGGCCAGTTGAGTTTACAAGAACTGCTACTACCAGTGGCCACAAATACAAATACAAGATTATCAATGACACACAACTAAATGGGCTTAAAGCCAGGCGTGGTAGTACAAACCTATCATCCTTGCACTCAGGGGGCTGAGGCTGTGCTACATAGCAATAGTAAGATCCTGTCCCCCTCCCCCTAAAAAAAGAAAGAAAAGAAAAAGAAAAAGGGTTGAAAAGTAAGCATCTATAAAAATCAACATGGAAAAAGTACTTTTAAAGCATCTGTGAGATGTTTTTTGAAATTGGTATCTATCTTAACACACACACACACACACACACACAGAGCTATCATGTACCCTGATTTCTCCAGTGTTCTACCTTGCTTTTTTCCTCTGCCCAAGCTCACTCCTGCCGAGCCAGTGTCTTCCCGACTCCTCACTTTTACTTTCTCAAATAAATTTGGCCACTGCTTTTTGAAAAACACACCAGTCAGGGCTTTAGCTCAGTGGCATAGCGCCTGCCTGGCAAGTGTGAAGTCATCAGTTCGATCCCTGGTACCAAAACACATACACACACACACACACACACACACACACACACACACTATCCATCCAGTTTTGGGGTTTTTTTGGGGGGGGTGTACTTAAGGTTGAATGCAGGGCTTTCACACTTACCTATAAACTCATCCCTTTTTGTTTTGAGACAGGGTCTCATCAAATTGCTGAGACCGGGGGCTGGGGATTTAGCTCAGCGGCATAAGCGCCTGCCTTGCAAGCAGGCAGTCATGAGTTCGATCCTTGGTACCGATAAAAATGAAAAAGACAAAAAAAAAAAAAAAAAAAAAAAAAAATTGCTGAGACCAAGCTCAAACTTGCAATCTTCCTGCCTCAGCCTCCCAGAGTACTGGGATGACAGATGCCAATATCACACCTGGCTTTATTTAACCATTTCTGATGGAAACTAGACTATATGCTTACCTGTTTTCATTACAGAGTCTAACCTTAATCCTCAACATCTATGCTGTTGTACTGCCTAGCTTCAAAAAGAACTCGTTCTTCCAAGACTTTTTTAAAAAGCCTTTACAGTTCTTCTATGTCTTTCTCAGCTGTTAAGATATAAAAACAACCGCTAAGTTTATGTTTATACTTAATGCAACAAGCACAGTGAGTCTAAGCAACCTGCTTCTAGTCCGCCTCTTGCATGCCCTGTTGCTAATGTTTTGCTAACCACAACCTTGAGGATAAACAAGTCTCTTCACTCCTCTCTTGCATTACTATGACCCGCTGTAGTCTAGAAAAATGGAAAAACTGCAAATGAAATGCCTACAGTACCTACTTTTGTCTATATTACAAAGTTCTAATAAACACTGCCTACATGTCCCTCTAGATTAGTCAAATATCAATCAAAACCAGAGCCGGAAGTCTTGGTTTAGCAAACAGCCTTAGTCACCCGCCCAAAACACTACTTTCCCCAGAGGGAAGAACACAACCTACAAAAGGGTGTTTGAAGGCCAGTCTTTTTTTTTTTGGTACCGGGGATGGAACTCGTGACCTCATGCTTACCAGGCAGGCATTTATGCCACTGAGCTAAATCCCCAGCTCAGTCCAGTCCTTTTTCCCACGTCTTTGAGACAGTATCTTGCTAGATTGCTCAGGCAGACTTTGAACTTGGAATCCACACACTCTAGTCTCCCAAATCCCTGGAATTAAAAGCACTTATGAGCCTCCAAACCTAGCCCAATATTTTTTTTTAACAGAACCTCACTATGCATTCAGGATGGCCTTGAGCTCACTTTGTATGTAACTCAGGCTGGTCTCAAACTTGCAACGATCTTCCTGCCTCAGCCTTCCAAGTGCTGGGATTACAGGCTTGTGTCACCCCACTTGGCCCATGTCTTTAATAGTCACTCTTCCGATCTACTTTTCAAAACGGACTTCTTAGCTGGGCGCCACTGCAACTCCAGCTGAGGCAGAGGCAGACAGATCTCAAGTTGGCGGCTCGCCTGAACAACCTAGCCTGTCTCAAAACTAAAAAGGCTGGTGACGCCATTCAGTAGTGGGGTGTCCCTGGATTCAGTCTCAAACACTGCAAACACACACACACACACACACACACACACACACACACAGAAATCTGTGGAAAAATCACCATGGGAACACTTATAGGTTCATTTCTTATTTTACTCAAGTAACCACATATGACACTAGTCCTGTAATTTCAACCATGGCAAATGAAATGTTAGACACCCCTTGAAATTAAAACTCAGCAAAAGGTTATTTGGGGTGAGAAATCAGGAGAGCTTTAAAGCAGCTGTGTAACAGAGATGGCTCGTTGGAAAACAGCAAAATCTGCTTAACTTCCCAACATTCCTGGAATCATCCTAATAATGACATCACTGATCGACTTAATATTCGCTTTAGTTCACAACTCTGAAACCTGCCCTTGTCCTGCGGAGCTGCTAAGTGTCTGGCGTCGAGGGCTCCCCTGCTGCCTCCCCCCCCCCCCCTGAGCTTAAGCCCTTCTTGCTGGCCAGGCAGGCTTCTGCAATCTACCTTTTCCAGCCTGGATCCTTACCACTGCCCTACCCATCACATCCACTCCAGCCAAACCGTAAATACCTGCTGTTTTCGCAAGGCGCTTCAACCTTGAAATGCCCTTTTCCTGCCTCCGCCACTACCTAGAAGTCTTCCTACCTTTGTAACCTCAACGTCACTTATTTCAGGGACCCTTTCCTGATACTCCAAATGGAACCCTTCTCTGCAACCCGGATAATCGGGTATCTCCCGCCCGCAGCGCTCCGAGCTGTTTCACCTTGCTCCGTCCACCGTGTACCAGGCGCCGTGTACCAGAACCTCCTAGTCCTAGGTGCTCCTAGCGCTCCGTCGCTGACACTAGGCTCCCGCCTCCCCGGAAAGTGGCACGGTGTGCCATCCAAAGTACCTCAGGGGATGGAACGCTGAGGTAAAACTTCTCGAGTAAAACAGAGTCTAAACACCGTGACAGATAAAACATTATGTCCCTCACTGATTAACCAACGTTCTGCCCTGCTCCCGTTCCTCAGAAAATACAAAAAAAAAAAAAAATCACTAATAGCTTGAATGCAGCTTTTCAAGAAAGTTGCTCCCACAGAAATGAATACAAAAGACCCCTCAAAGTGTTCATTCTTCCGCTTTTGTGTTGTGCATTTCCCCCCACCCCATTGGTCCAAACAGTGGTGAGAACTTTTCCATCAATTTTATTTCGTTATTCAAATAGTACACACGAAACAATGACGAGCGGAAAACGTCTGCATCGAGGGTAACCTATCAGACACGTATGACTTTACTTCAGCAAAATCAGAATTTCCAGGGGTCCCACTGGTGCCACCCGTCCCTACGGCACTCGGCTGGTTACAGCGCCAAGGAAAGGTGCGGGGCCGGGATGAAGAGAGGCGACATGGCTTCCAGCGCCCAGAGGGCGGCGATGGCCGCCTGCGGCAGCTCAGCTGAAATGCAGCGGAAACAGCAGTCACGGGGCTGCGGGAGGCAGGGCAGGAAGGTGGCGCTGCCGCTGAGCGCCTGGAACCCGAGCACCCGTCATGGCGACGAGGGCAATGGCCGCCGTGGGGAGCGAGCACGCCCCTCCGCGCGCATACGCCACCGCGCCGGGTCTCCGGTGCCCGTCACCGGCGCCGCCGCTGCCGCCCGCTCTCCCACACCCCCTCACGGGCTGTAGCGGAATTTTCGCTTCAGACGCCGCCTTCAAGATGGCGGCTCCCCCTCCCGGCAGCCCCCTCAGTCGTCCCCTGCAGCAGGAGCCGAGCCGCCGCCATCTTGTCCCCCGTCCCTCCCCCCCCCGCCGATATTTACATAGCGAAAATCGGCCCGGCCGGCCTGCGGCCTTCACCTCATGCCTGCAGCCTTCGCCTCCTCGCCAGGCCTCGCCCCTGCACTGTGCCCCGAGTCGGCCGCGGCGCCCACCCGAGGCCCCTCAGCCGCCTCCCGGACCGCCGGGCAGTCCTTCCCCAACCCCCGCCCGCTTACGGAGCGCGCCTCCGCCGCCGCTCGGAGCAGCCGGGCTCCTCCCCGGGCCTAACTGCGGCCTCCTCGGGGCCTGCTCGGCGCAGCGCGCCACGCCGCCCGGCCTAGCGCGGAAGGGCGCCTTGCGGGCCGCCGACCAGGCCGGGACCAGGCCGCCGCGCGCGCACTAGGCCCCACGGCCGCGGCGGCGCCCGGGACTCACCGGGCGGGCGTGCGGGCGGTCGGCGACGGTGGCGGGTGCTGCAGGCCGGCCTTTCTCTGGAGCACTGGGCCGGGCTCCGGCTGGTGGGGCGGGCGGAGGGAGGGAGGAGGGGCCGAGCTCGGAGCTGACAAAAAGCGGCCCAGCTCCCCGGCACGGGCCCGCCGTCAGCACGTCACGTCACCGCCCGGGAGAGAGACCCAGGAAAATGCGGAAGGATGGAAGGGCCCCCTCCTCCGCCCGGTGGGTCCCCCTGGCGCTCCGGGTCGGCGCCGCTCACGCCCCGCGCCCGGGGAGCCCAGTGGCCTCTCTGCGGCGGGGTCTTAAGCGGCCTGTGTCTCCGTGACAGCGCCCCCCTTCTTTCCACCTCCTCCGCGCTCCCGCCCGCCGCCACACACACACCGCTGCCGCCGCCGCGACCGTCTAGCGGGCGCGGGGCCGCGGCCGATGGAGCCCGCAGGGAGGCGGCGGCCTGGGCCTCCCCCAACCAGGGCCGTGGGCCGCAGCCGCCCCCGGGGCCTTCGCGCCCCGCTGCCTAACGGCATGGCCTGGCCTGGGGCGGCCCGCAGCCCCCGCCACCCCCGAGCGCTTTCTGCATCGCGGCGGCTGGGCAGGGAGAGAAATTTAGCAGCCCCGCCGTCCCCTGCCTTCCAGTACAAAACACAGACCCTTGCGACCAAGTGAAAGTGGGTGTGCGGCCAAGGGGGACCCCAGGACAGCACCTCGAGTCTTCATGTTTCAGTGAAGGCTCGTGAGAGCCGAGCCGAGCCGAGGTTGGGGGTGAGGAAGGGTTATATCTGCACTGCGATGAGAGGCGCTTGGGACACACTGGCTGTTTCCCTGGTTTTCGAGTTCCACGGCCTAGGCAATGGAACCCTGGGGTCATTGTTTCATAAATAACGGCTTTCGAACATTCTTCCGAAGACGTCTAGGACATAGTGGAATAGGGTAGGGATTTCCTTTTTAAACTGCTTAAACGAGACTTAAAATTGAAATAGACGGGAAAGAAGGGACAAATTATATGATTAAATAAAGCATAAAAATGTACACTATTGTGTTTTCCTCCGTTTCAGTTTGTGCTCTAGCCCTATGCTGAACTTTGGGTCTCGAACTTGTTTAAAACTTCTCAGGGAATAGTTACTGGCGTCTTATACATCAGAAATGGGGCGTCCCTGAAACAGCGCGAAATGCTAAAGACATGTTTAAACAATAACACGAATTATAAAGAACAACATTGATATGGAATCTCTTCGAATACAAAGCCCTAGAATGCAAATTGGCCCTTACCTCAGACATTTTACAATCAGAAAATACACTGAAAACGGAAAAACAACCAGGCGTGGTGGTGCATGCTTGTGGTGGGTGCGCGCTTGAGATCCCAGCCCTTGGGGAAGCTGAGGCAGGAGGACCACAAAATGGAGCCCAGCCTGGGCAATTTAGGAAGACCTCTGAAATTTTTTAAAAGGGGCAGGGGCGTGGGGATGTATCTCAGTGCCAAGACCCTGGGTTCAATCTCCAATACTGGAAAAAGAAAAGAAAAACGGGTGGAGGGACCACCAAGTTTGCTGGCACAAACTTGTAATCCCACAATCCTTAGAAGCTGAGGCTAGAGGATCTCAAATTTGAGATCCTTCCTCACCCGCTCAAATTTGAGGACAGACTAGACAATTTTATGAGACTGTCTCAAAATAAGAAGGTGGTGATATAGCTCAGTGCAAAGCCCTGGGTTGTATTCCCAGGAACACCCACAAAGGAAAAATTCAACAGCGGTCACATACACACACACTAAAGAAAAATCAGCGATATTGTAAACAACGTTGGTGGCCCAGGCTTAAGATACCAACCACTTCAGGAGACTGAGTCAGGAGAATCGCAAATTCAAGCCCCGCGTGGACAATTTAGTGACTTAGTGAGACCTTGTCTCAAAAAATAAAGGGGAAAAAGGGAGGGAGGCTTGAGGACGTAGCCCAGTGCCAAGACGGGTTCGATCTCCGGGGGAGGGGGTTTTTAAAAAATCTAAAAATATACTTCATGGTAATTTTCTTCTGGGGCTTTAGCTTTCTGGGTTTTTTAAGTGATTGAATATTCTCTGAAATACGATAAATGACAACATGTTTTCATCATTTATAGAAATTCCTTCAGGAAGTACAGACTTCACAGAAAGAAAATATGAAATTAAGCAATTGTATTTCAAGGGGGGAAAAAATGAGAAAGCCACGGTGGCTGAAGCAGGAGAATCGCATATTTGAAGCCGGCTTGGGCAATTTATGGAAACTCCGTCTCAAAACAAAAAATAAAAAGATCTGGGCTGGAGCTCCGAGGTAGAGCACTTGCTTAGCATATGAAAGAGCTTGGATTCAACCCCAGTACAGAAAATAAAGGGGGTGGGGGATTGCTCATGGACTCACATAAATAAAATTTCAAAACATGGATAACCAGCACTTAAAATACTTTCAAAGAGTTTCTGTCTAATGCTCCCATATGCCAACGACAGGGTCTCTCCCACCATCCATTCGACTGGAAGCAGCATGTTTAGAACACAACAAGCTGGCTTCAGCGTTCTTGATACCACCAAATACTTCTAAGTGTAGTAGTATAAAACACTTAAAGACGGTTCAAGGAACGATTAAAAAATATTTCCTCAATTTAAAAGATTCTAAGCCACTTAGTTACTATTGTCAAACAGCCTTCTTTTCCTTCTCTTTTCGTTTTGGTTTTTTGAGTCGGGGGTCTCACTAAGTAGCCCATGCACGCTTCGCTTCGAATGTGCAGTGATCCTCCTGCTTCAGCCTGCCTACGGCTAAGATTACGGACTTGTGCTGCCACACTCAGTTTTTGTTTTCGGTTTTGCTTTTGGTTTTGAGACAGGGTCTTCCTACATTGCCAGGCCGTCCTGGAGCTCCCTGGCTTAAGAATCCTGCTTCGGGGCTGGGGATTTAGCTCAGCGGCATAAGCGCCTGCCTTGCAAGCAGGCAGTCGTGAGTTCGATCCCCGGTACCGAAAAAAACAAACAAACAAACAAAATCCTGCTTCAACTTCCCAAGTAGCTGAGACTGCATGTGCCTGCCTGTACACCTTGGCTTTACTTTTCCTGAATAAATATAAAGGAACCATTAACTTTGACAGGAAATAAGGAAACGCTAATATTAACTAATTATATGAACCTTTATTATTAAAGTCAACAAAGATTGTTCTACGGATTTTTGTACAGCTAATTTTTTTTTTTTTTTTTTGTACCGGGGATCAAACTCAAGACCTCAAGCTTGTCAGGCAGGTGCTTACGCCACTGAGCTAAGCCGCCAGTCCTGAAGTTAATGGGGGGGGGGGGCGTGGAGGAGTTTTCAAAACGGAAAAGTCGCACCGGGAATGTAGCTCAGCGGCGCAGCGCCAGCCTGGCAAGCAGGAGGTCTTGAGTTTGATTCCTTGTACCAAAAAAAAAAAAAAAGAAAGAAAGAAAGAAAGAAGGAAAGAAAAAAGAAAAGAAAAGTCGCTGGGAGTAGCTCACTTGGCAGAGAGCTTGCTTAGCATATGCAAGCCCCTGGATTTGATCCCCAGCACCAAAAAATAAATAGATAAATAAATAAATGAAACAAAAGAAAAGGAAAGGCAGGGGAGTAATTTGTATTTCAATCCCGTGTGTAGAAGACAGCCTTTGTTTTCGTTTTCGTTTGGTTTTTTAAAAACATGGTCTTAAAAATAAAACACAGTTTTGCTATGTACATAACCCAAGCTGGCTTGAAACTTGCAAGCCTCCTGCCTCAGCCCACCCTCTGGAGTGCTGGGATTACAGGCTCTGCAAGGCAGTTTTAAAGAACACTGTTAAACAGGGTTAAAAAGAACAGTGATGAAAACCACTTTACTGGAAGTATACTCAATTCGTATACTTTTTGTTTGTTTTTGTTTTAGACAGCGTTGGGGCTGGAAATTTAGCTCAAAGGCATAAGCGCCTGCCTGGCAAGTGTGAGGTTGTGCGTTTGATCCCGGTACCACCAAAAACAGAAAAAAGGAATCTGTTTTAGACAGGGTCTCACTATGTAGCCCAGGCTGGCATCGAACTCAGTGAATATGCTGCCTCAAACTCCAAGTGCTAGGATTACAGGTGTGAGCCACCACACCCAGTTTAATTCATCCAATAAAAGAAAAAGATGCAAAAAAGAAAGAATTTTTAAAAAACGAAGCAAAGTATATGTAAACAGCAGAGATAAACCACTTGATACTATAATTTTAAAAATATAGTTTATTAAAGTACCCCAATAAAATGTCATTGAAAAATAAATAAAAATAAAGTACCATAAAACCTTAGAGTACCTGAAGTCGCTGAAAGCATTTGGTGATACAATCAAGCAGTGGGTGATTAAGCCTCAGACAGTTGGCTTGTGCTCACTGTTTCCAGTTAAGGACCTATTGGCGGGAATGGTGGTGCACACCTGTAATCCCAGCAAGCTGCGGCAGGAGGAGGGTAGGTCGCTGTGAGTTCAATGCCAGCCTGGACTGCCCATCAAGACCCTGTCACAATCCTCCAAAACAGAAGTAAGGACCCACGGAATCAGGACTTCAGGAATAATAAAAGATGTAGTACTTGTCTTGGAGAGCTCAACCCAGGAGGCTGAATAGCAGAATAAAAACATTCTTAAATGGGTTCGCTTTCTCACTTAAATAAAACACACAAGGAAAGGACATTTTATCTGGGAAGATTGAGAGAACATTCCAGAAGTGTCCACTGTGAATATAAAATAGCTGCCCTCAACACAAAGGGATTTTGATGATGTGTTAAAATTTATTTGTTCCTTCAGAATTGTTGATGTACACCAGATACTTAAAAGCATCTACTCCAGGTTTTGACAGTGTCTTAATAATTTACTAAAAATCCTTGACATATTTATAGGTGCTTCAGCCAGAAGCAATACAAAGCTTTTTTTTTTTTAAATACAAAGCTTTTCAATCACTTTTCCAAAGAAAGATTAGTCAGAAAAAAAGCTATTGGTTTGCACTCCATATCACTCAGTGATGGAACTCCAAAGAGAAAATTATAAATTCCTGGTTTATAACAGGCTGTGGGACACACCCTTGTAATCCTAGCACTAGGGAAGCTGAGGCAGAAAGATCAACATGAGTTTGAGGACAGCCATACACTACATACAGTCAGTTCAAGACCAGCCTGAACTATAAAGCAAGACCCTGTCTCAAAACACCAAACAAAAAAATGATTAATTTATGAGAAAATGTAAACATCAAAAAATGTATGAAAAAATGCATTAGCATTATTTTACATTGTAAAAAAGAACAAGATTTACCTTCTCAAAACACCAAACAAAAAATGATTAATTTATGAGAAAATATAAACATCAAAAAATTTGTGAAAAATGCATTAGCATTATTTTATGTTGCAAAAAAAGAACAAGATTTACCTTCTCATAGAAATGAGTCATTTTCCAGAAAAAAGAAAAAAAAATTATTAAGGGGCTGGGGATTTAGCTCAGCGGCATAAGCACCTGCCTTGCAAGCAGGGGGTCGTGAATTCCATCCCCAATACCGGAAAAAAGAAAAAAAAAAAAAAAACCAAAGAAAAAGAAATGAGCCATTTTCTTGATCTAAACATGTCCTACAAAAATTAACTTTACCTGAAACTTAAATTATACTTACCATGAGCAACTTGCTTCTTCCTTGGAATTCACTTGCCTATAATTAATACTAAGTAAGAATTTTTAATCTGAGTCTTTAAACTGCAAACATTCCCCAAGGAAAATAATTTACAATTAAACAATCACTGACAATTAGGTGATTTTCCAGCACTATTTTTCATACAAATTGAAGAAGATACTAATCCCTGAAAATCGCCAACGGCAAAATTCTACTTCATGGATTATAAATCACAGCCAACAAAACAGGTCCACTAAAGAGGTAAAAATCAATATAGAACCTTGTCTCCAAAAAGCCAAACAAACGAAAAAGGAAGGAAGCAGAGCTGCCAGAGGAAATGACTGATTCCTGGGCTCAAATGGGCAAGGACCAAATGAGCAAGGAACAGTTCAAATCAGCAAACGAGATAAGCTTGGGAAGGAGGCTAAGGCAAAAAGTTTCAGGAGCCAGTTAATGAGTCCAGCTGGGCTAAACCTGAGGAAACTGGAAGATCGCAAAATTCCACGGACTGAAACACAATGGATATGTTCATGAATTTATGAGACTTCAAAAATAAACAAACTGGAAATGGTGGGCATGCCTATAATCCCGGCATTCTGGCATTCTCGGAGGCTGAGGCAGATGGATCTGGAAATTCAAACACAGCCGGTGGGGGATTTAGTAATTTAGACCCTATCTCAAAATAAACAAGGCCTGGGGGTGTAGTCAGTGTGAAGGCCCTGGGTTCAATCTCCAATACCAAAAATAATTTTAAAAATCAACTGATGGTGATGATCACCCAGCATTGTCAGTGTAACAGAGACTAGTGGATTGCGTGTGAACTTTTTTACTTTTCAAAGCTTAGACGCAAACTCAGGGCCCTGTGTATACTAAGCTATACCCCCAGGCCCTTACACAGTGAGACAGTGTCTCACTTGCTCAGACCGACCTCAAACTTGTGAGCCTTCCACTTCAGAATCCGGAGTAGCTGCGTTCCACCGTGCCAGATTTAAGAACTTTTCTTTTGTTTTCCTTTTCTTTCTTTTTTTTTTTTTTTTTTTTTTTTTTTTTTGAGACAGGGTCTCACTACATGGTTCAGGCTGGCCTTGAACTATGTAGCCTAGGCTGGCCTCAAATTCCTAGCAATCCTCCTGCCTAGGCCTCCAGAGTACTGGGATTACAAGTGTGCATCACCACACCTAGCTGGAATTTTCTTTCAGTAAAAGTATTCTGACTAATACATGAAGAAGGCCTGACAGAATTAGACTATCACGCTGTGCAATACCAGCTGACTTAATAAATAGTAGATCTTGACAATAACGAATGACTGCTTAGCAGAAACCAGCCAGACTCACCTCACGGTGGGAACACTCCAACTATACTATACTATACTCAAACTCTGCCTGTGACCCTGTAGTATATGGTTTCTGTGTTGCTTTTTTGTTTTGCAGTAGGACCTCATGTATGCTCTTTATGTGCTGAACCACAGACCTACACTCCCATACCACACTGGAAAGGAAGAAAGAATGAACAAAAGGGAGAAAGAAAGAAAGAGAAAGAAAATGAGAGAAAGAAAAAGCCTCAACCCTGAGTTTGAGCACCTCCCTTGCTCTACTAATTAGAGAAATGTGATCAACAAAATCCAGTTGGTGTAAAACTATAGGACAAATGACTCATTTTCTTCCACAGGTAGATTGTAAGAAAACAAATTGAAGGAGAAAGTAAGAGATTAGAAAAACCTTAAAAGACATGCCTATAAATTCCACTAACGAACTTCACTTTAACTTTGATTCAAACAGCTTTAAAAATCATAGATGAGGGCTGGGGATTTAGCTCAGCGGCGTAAGTGCCTGCTTTGTAGGCACATGGTCCTAAGTTCGATCCCCAGTACCAAAAAAAAGAATGGGGTAAGTTCGATCCCCAGTACCAAAAAAAAAAAAAAAAAAAAAAAAAAGAATGGGGCTGGGGATTTAGCTCATCGGCATAAACATCTGCTTTGCAAGCCTGCAGTGAGAGTTCGATCCCGGTACCAAAAAAAAAAAAAATCATAGATGACTGGTGAAATATGAGCACTGATTGGATTTTTCCCAACACTGCCTGATACAAATTACTGTTATTTCATTCAGGTGTAAATATTGATGCGTGATTATACTTGAGAATGAGTAAAAATATAAAAAGGATGAGTCCTTATAGCCAGATATGGTGGCACACGGCTGAGGAAGGAAGATCTCAAGTGAAAAACCAAAACGAAGGAAGGGTAAAGAAAAGAAGGAAAAAACATAAACAAAGCTTTTGTAAATAAAGGAGGGAAAAAGGGTTGAAGGGAGGGGAGGGGAATGGGAAAAAAAGAATCAAGTTATATTAGGTATAGATACAAATTCCTTATGATGAATGTGATTGATATGCATATCGAAACTGTACCAATAAACTTAATAAAAAAATTTCAAGGCCAGCCTTGGCCACATAGGGAGACGCTGTCTCCAAGAAAATAAAAGAATCAGGGGCTGGGGATTTAGCTCAGTGGCATAAGCGCCTGCCTTACAAGCAGGCAGTCGTGAGTTCGATCTCCGGTACCGATAAAAACGAAAAAGACAAAAATAAATAAATAAGTGAATAAAAGAATCCTTATCCTTTAGAGATAAAAGACCAAAATATTTATGATAAAATTATATGGTATCAGAGACTTCCTTCAAAATAACATGGGTCGGGGCTGGAGGTTTAGCTCAGCGGCATAAGCGCCTGCCTGGCAAGCAGGCAGTCATGAGTTCATCCCCGGTACCGATAAAAATGAAAAAGACAAAAAAAAAAAAAAAAAAAAAAAACATGGGGCAAGCTGAGTGTGATAGTACATACCTGCACCTGTAACCCCAGTACTCCCTAACTCAGTGGTGGTGAACCAGTGGCATGTGTGTTGTTTTTCTTTTAAGACAAAAAATGTTAATGTGTGCACTGTTTCTTTTAAATGGAAACCTCGGCATTCAGGCTTAATTGCAGCGTTGGCACTGTGTGATAAATAAGTCAGTTTTGAGATATAAACGTTGGCCTTTCAGTCTCTAAAATGTTTCCCATCGCTGGCCTAGGCTAAGGCAGGGGGACAAAAGCTCAAGGTCAACCTGGGCTACATAGTAATTTGAGATCAACCTAGAACAGGGAGACCCTGTCTCAAAGAAAGAAAGAGACTGACTAGGAGCAATGGTACATGTGTCAAGGTTATATCTCTGAAGAAGGGGAGGAGGTGCTATCCCAAAACCATAACACTTTTAAAAAGGGGTGGAGGACCAGGGATATAGCCCAGTGGCACAGTACCTGCCTGGCAAGTACAAAAAAAAAAAATATATATATATATATATATATATATATAAAACTTTGTAAAAATATTAATATATCCCTGTAAACTCTTTTCCTACAACTGTAACAATTTTTTTTGGAGTATAAAAAAAGTATAGCATATTTTCAATTACTCTCTAAAACAACTGTTGTATGTATGTATGTATGTATGTATGTATGTATTGATGTTTTGAGATAGGGTATTGCTATGCAGTTCAGACTGAACTTGGGTTGACTACGTAGCCCAGGCTGGCCTCAAACTCACAATGATCCTCCTGCCTCAGCCTCCTGACTGCTGAAATTATAAGTGCACATACCAGACTCAGGTTCAACAGCTGCAGTTATATATATTCCGTCCCGCAGAATAAAGTTCAAGATATCTCTATTTATTAGCTACAGTTTCCTTTATCTAGGAATTGCTTAGAATATCTTTTGTTTTATCAAGTAGTCTTTTTATTTGTAGAACTACTCTATACATTCTGAATATTAATCCTTAGCTTATTATATAATCCA